CTTATCAGTTCTGTGCCGCCGTGTTTGAATAGCTTGGCTGGTAATCCGTCGACCCCCATCGCTTTGTTGTCCTTCAGGCGGTTAATTGCTATTCGGACTTCTTCATGGTCGGGCAATGGAACGTCTGCTCCATCKTCATCGATTGGGGTATCGGGTTCGCCTTCTCCTATCGTTGTATGTTCACTGCCATTCAACAGGCTGGAGAAGTGTTCGCTCCATAATTTAAGTATGCTCTGGGCATCGGTGACTAGATCACCGTTGGGGGTTCTACAAKAGTATGCTCCGGTCTTGAAACCTTCTGTAATTTTCGAGCATTACCCTTGTCGGCCAGCTTATCAAGCTCTTCGTTCTCACGCATTTCAACATCTATCTTTTTCTGTCTGAAAATGCGTCTCGCTTCCCTCTTCAACTCTCGGATCTATCCCATCCCGCACGCTGTGGTCGATCGTAACGTTGCGAGGTAGGCAGCCTGTTTTCTCTCCGCTGCGACACGGCACTCCTCGTCGTACCAGCTTTTCTTTTGCACTTTCCGAAAACCAATGGTTTCGATTGCAGCTATACGGAAGGAGTTTGAAATGCCGTCCCACATTTCCCTTATACCGAATTGTTGACGAGTGCTCTCAGAGAGCAGGAGTGCAAGCCGAGTAGAAAATCGTTCGGCTGTCTGTTGGGATTGCAGCTTCTCAACGTCGAACCTTCCTTGTGTTTGTTGACGCGCATTTTTTGCTGCACAGACGCGGGTGCGAATCTTGGCTGCAACCAGATAGTGGTCCGAGTCGATGTTAGGACCTCGGAGCGCACACACATCTAAAACACTGGAGACGTGTCTTCCGTCTATCACAATTTGATCGATCTGGTTGGTGGTTTTCCGATCCGTAGACAGCCAGGTAGCTTGATAAATCTTCTTATGCTGGAATCGGGTTTTACAGATAACCATATTTCGGGGACCGGCGAAGTCGATCAGCCTCAACCCATTTGGGGATTTTTCGTCGTGGAGGCTGAATTCACCGAGCGTAGCGCCAAAGATACCTTCTTTGCTCACCCTGGCGTTAAAGTTGCTAAGCACCCCGTCGGGGTGTGGGCGCAAATCAACAATATGTTGAAGAACCTCGCTTCGGTGGACGGATTGTGGCTAGACGTTCATTCACCGGAGTGAATGATAGTACTCGGCGATGGAGTCTCCCTCTCACCACGAATCCCACACCAAACTTGCGCTCCTTTATATGACCACTGTAGTAAATGCCACAAAGACCTACTCGTTTCTGTCCTTGTCCCGTCCATCGCATTTCTTGGACGGTGGTGATGTCAGCCTTTATATTCACGAGGACATCAACCAGCTGGGCAGCGGCATCTTCCCTTAACTTTTTTCTTTGTTTTGTCCCGTTTTTCTGTGTTTAAGGAGTTATCGCATTTTTAGCTAGCTTACTTGTTATCCGATTCCGTCCATTTTTGCGCTGGACAGGAGTAGTCTCAGTAAGTTTGGGATATGTGTATATTAAGCATTTAACGACGCGGTGTCAAGAACATTTATTAATAAAACCTTTTCCATAGATGTGCTCTTTATTGCGGTCCTTTGTATCAAATTTTATCACTTAGGTAGTCAGCAAGTAATTCTTCTCCTTAATTGGCGTAGACACCGCTTACGCGATTATAGCCGAGTTAACAACAGCGCGCCAGTCGTTTCTTCTTTTCGCTACGTGGTGCCAATTGGATATTCCAAGCATAGCCAGGTCCTTCTCCACCTGGTCCTTCCAACGGAGTGGAGGTCTTCCTCTTCCTCTGCTTCCCCCGGCGGGTACAGCGCCGAATACTTTCAGAGCTGGAGTGTTTTCGTCCATTCGGACAACATGACCTAGCCAGCGTAGCCGCTGTCTTTTACTTCGCTGAACTATGTCAATGTCGCCATATATCTCGTACAGCTCATCGTTCCATCGAATGCGATACTCGCCGTGGCCTACGCGCAAAAGACCATAAATCTTTCGAAGAACTTTTCTCTCGAAAACTCGCAACGTCGACGCATCAGTTGTTATCATATAGCAGGACGGGTATTATGAGTGACTTATAGAGTTTGGTTGTTGTTTGTCGAGAGAGGACTTTGCTTCTCAATTGCCTACTCAGCCCGAAGTAGCACCTTTTGGCAAGAGTTATCCTGCGTTGGATTTCCAGGCTGACAGCAAGTAATTACTTCAATATAATTTATAAATAAATATTGGCGAGCGTAACTTTGAATCTTTGCCACTCTCCCATCTTACGAAGAATTGTCGGCATCAATGATTTTGATGTGCTAAAACCCCGCAACTTTATAATTAAACCATTAAATTCTGGGTAGTTAATCCCTATTCCGGAGAACTACAATATTAAATACCTTTTAAGCCTAAAAAGAGATTGCAAAACCTTTACAAAAAGAAGACAAAAGTTAAAAAAATACTAGTACGTAAATATGTCATAATTTTCAAAAATTGTGTCCAGATATACAGAAATGCATTTGCTTTGTAAATTTAAGAGCGAACTATAAAAAAATTTAATAAACCTTATTTCCGTCGTAAGTATACTTATTTCACTTTGTTAAATACACTTTGGGTAAATCATTATTATTCTTTAAGAAAGATACTTAAAGTATTTAATTATAAGCATTTTCAAGCTCTATTCGTAACGTACATTCTACCGTGGCAAGAAGATCATTTCTCAATTAAATTGTGCAGTTAAAATGTTACTACAATAATATTTCCCGTAATCTTTTTGACCAAACGTGTACCGTTGTATGATTGAGGTGGATTGAAATTATGCTGAATAATAACAGTTGAACAATTTTCGATTGAAAATTGTGGTTGTACATATCTAGATAATTTACGTTTTCATTTTCATCAACAACAATATCGAATAATTTAAAATACATCTGATAACCTGATAACAACTTTAGCCGCTAATGTAACCTGATTACCGAGCCATTAATGATTGTACCAATTCATTTTTATTTTAAGGCAATTAATCTTTAGTTCTTAAATTTGAAACGCCGGCTCCAACCTATTAAATCTGCAAGTAAAATGCTAAAATGTCATTTTTGCATGGAGTTGTAGATTAGTGATTAAAATCAAATACTGATTTAGTTTCATTATAAATATTCTTAAAACCTGTTTATGAACGTTTTATATACGATTTATTTCTGTTCAAAAATTTTAAGCGTTTTCCCATAACTCATGTGTTCAAAGTCGGTGTACTGCATAATTTAAAAACTACTGCTAAATACTTTTGATATTAAGTAAATTATTTCTGTACACAATTTACGAAGCGGCGCCAAAGAATTCAAATTTTTTAATATTTTTTATATTTTAATAGCTAATTTGCCAATTTTTTGGGTTTTTAGTTTAAAATGTTCTAAAAATTTCAAAATTGATTTTTTGGAAAACCATCTCGGCGTACATGGCGAAAATTTTTAGCATGACAGAAACTTCAAAAATTCTTTGCTCGATTTAACATTAACCAAAATTATTTGTCGCCCACTTGAAGCTTTTTCCCTATATACATGTAATATATAACTATATGGTACATAACCGTAGACAGCTAATCAAATAATATCCTCACTAATTAAAAAGTTTAAATTAGAGTGGAAATTGTATAAAATTATTATTTATACGATACATTCTTTTACTACAAGTAATTTTAACCGTAAAGTACTACTGCAGTCTATTTTGAATGCGTTGTGACTAATTTTATGTAGAAGCTTGAATCATATGAATTTTTGTTGTACATGATGACAATATTTTGAATGTACTTCAAGGTCCAACATACACTCTCCGATCTGGTTTTCAGTATGAACTGCATGTCAACCTTTGACAAGCATCACAAAGTATATGACCTGTTTATTAATATACAAATTTAATATAAAAAACATATTAATTAAAATGTAATTAGAATTTTAATAAGGGAAAGTTCCAAGATCCATTTTTTGTTTACTGCGGCTCATAATAGAATATATATTTTCGATGATTCGATGTATATAAATTGACATTAATTGATTCGGTATTTATTATATATGATATAAATGAGTTCCACTGATACATATATATTTTATATAAGTTTTTATATTTATATGTATCTTCAAAACTCATTCAATCAAAGCCTAATTACTTATATTACTATTTATTTATTGACATTTAACCTCATACATAAGCCTTAACACAAGAAGCTATTACGCTTAACTTATTCAAATATTTTTGTTGTTTTGTTTCCACGTCAAAGTTGCTTTTATATGTTTTCCCCCGAAATTTCAATGGCAAGTCACTTCAGCACATACAGTGTAAAAAAAAAAATAAAACAATATTTTAATTACATAAGGAAGACGAAAAAAGCTTCATTTAAACTTTTTTGAAATCCGGTTTGGCTACGAGCACTGTACACTGAGAACATTTTTCAATTTAATTTAAACTATTAATATGAATTCTTTTTATGCAATCTTAGTCAGAAAGTTTAGCAATTAATGCTTATCAACCGTTTATTGTACTAATGAAATTGAGTACTTAATAGTATCATTAAAATGCTCTATTCTACAACATACAGCATGATTGAACATTTTTTATAAGCAAATGGTCAATGTGGTATGTAAATGAAGGAAACACCGTGAAATTATTTCGACACTTATAATGAACAAGGTGAGTAAAATTTTGGTTGGTATTTATTTAACGTGTAGTGTATGTTAACAATTTTTGGGCTATATAAACTGGTAAAATACCACCTTCATGTAATTATAGTCCAACTGCCCAGGAGTCCAGAGTGAATTTTGTGAATTTTGAATTCGTACACATATTGTAAGTGAGTGGAAAAAAGTTGCAAATAATTAATAATTTGTGATAAAAAATTTAGTATATGAAAGTAATTGTCTCAAAAGATTTAAGACGCAGCATCAATAAGAGAATATTATAAATTTTATTTTAATCCTCTCTACTGAGAGTTTCAGCCCTTAACTTCATAAACAATAATTAGTATGAAATAGATATGTTTAACACATGGTCATTCATTTCTTGTGCAGATATATACAGTCAATCGAGTGATCAGAAATGCATATTAAATATTTTTATTATTAAAGTTGTCACGTCCAATTCTCTCAACAACTAAAATAAAAATCCCCCACTAAGGCACTCGTAAAGTTTATTAAGTGAACGAAGACATCGGAATAGTTGAAAATCTACCGGTTACATAAAATTAGCGATTATTCAACTTTATATATACTAATACATATGCAGATACATATAAGCATTTAAACACGCTTACACAGCATAATTTCGACATACGACATATGCCCCAAAATATTAGTTTATAAGTATAAGTAAGTTTAATTACAACATTAAATTATTTACATTAAATGATATATGTTTACAATAAAATATATAAATATATCTCAACAATTAGTTTTTTAAACAAGCAATACCAATATATACACATTACTTTTGAAATAAAGGAAAATTCGTATTACTTTCTATTACTCATAAAATCGGTCACCGATAACGTTACAAATATATAGTGATATTATTGAATAAAGACTATTTACGAAAGAAACCTAGTCACTTGAATTTGAATTAAACATAATGATGTATGGTATGTAATTTATAAGAACACATGTCTAATTTTTAGAAAACATGAAGGCCGCCATAATATTCTTGATAGTTGTTGTGGTTCAATATGGAGCAGCGCAAAAGCAGTACACAAATAAATTTGATAACGTCGATGTGGATGGTGTTTTGTCAAATAATCGTATTCTAACTAACTACATTAAATGTCTTATGGATAAAGGTCCTTGCACTCCAGAAGGTCGCGAGTTAAAAAGTAAATATTATTCATTAAATATGCATATACTATAGATACTTTTTATCAAGTTATTAATCTAATTTTCGTTTAGAATTACTACCTGATGCCCTACAGACGGATTGCTCAAAATGTACAGATACCCAAAGAAAAAATTCACAAAAGGTAATAAATTTCCTTCGTTTGAATCGTCCAGGCGAGTGGAAATTGTTACTAGACAAATACGACTCTAGAGGAGTTTACAGATCTAAGTATGAGAAACAAGGTTAAACTTACTCACAGAGAACGGTTAAATGTTGAAATCAAATTACATGTACTATGTATAGTATATACCATATGTATATGAGATAGTAAGAAAATAAATATGTTTATGGTACATCGCAGAATCCGTACATATATAGCTATGTATCCGTATTTGCATTATAATAACTATTCAACAATTTTTATTCGACATGTTAGGAAAATTTTTTGTAAAATCAAAACTATTAAGCAATATTAAAGCAATGTGCGTTTTCTGTAACATATCATAATTGCCTGAGTTAAATAGAACAAGGTTGTTGAATAAGTTTTGTCATTTGATAAGAAAAACACAATTTTATGATTCAAGATACACTTTATTATTTATTATAATCTCCCTGAACATTAATACACTCGTGGATCCCATCCCTAAAGTGAGAATCCGGAAGGACTGCAAAATACGCTTCAACGGAGGTTATGACCTCTTGATTTAATGGAAAAACGCCTTTTTAAGTTCTGGAAAAAAATGTAAACGCTGGGGGCCAAATTTGGTGATTAATTATATACTGTCACAACAAATGCTCCCCTTTTGCTTTAACACAAGCCCACAAATGTTTCAGGCATTGATGAATAGTAGCACACACAGTTTCTGTTTCTATTGAATACGCTGCTCGAATCAAATTTTTTTTCAGACTCGTCAAATTTCTGTGGAGTATTCCACAGGCCAAGCTCCCCAACTCTCACCAAAATCCAATAGATTGAAATTTGGACTTCCAGACGTCCAATCATCTACATTTATGAAAACAAGAATATTGATTTTAAGCAACTGCTGGGTGGTTTCTAACTTACGAGCTGAAGCAGAATCTTGCTGGAAGGCGCAAGAAGGACCATCTATGAAAGTGTTACTTAATTGCTTTACCACCCCTTCTATTATATACTGCTGGTACTCTTTCAGTTTTAACAATAAACCATTACAGTAGTCACGTTGGTGACCACATTGAAACCTTGCAATAACATTTTATGCGTCTTTTTTCATTCATTAATGAAAAACTTTTTCAGCAGCGAAACTTTTTTCTTTGTAAAAGCTCACTGAAGAGCCGCTTACATCTGTTGATCCTACTTTGATCCAAGTGCATTATGGATGACCAGTTGACCTGATATACTTCATATGGAGAACATCTCGAATAAGTCTTCACATTGACAACTTATCTTCCTGTCAGCAACTGTCAACGTTTAAGAAAACAACCAATAATGCGGTAAACAAAATTTTTGAGAAGATCATAAATTTCGCATGAGCTTTTTTGACACTTATTAGTAAGCGAAAGCAAATGCAGAACTTATTATTACATATGAGTAGGCACTGCACACAAAGTTCAATAAACAAGTAAGAAAGGGCTAAATTCTAGTATAACAGATTCATAAACTTTTGCGATAGAAACGCTGCTTGTGACGTTGCGAAATCGAAGCCAAAAAGCTGAGAAACATTCTGCATGACAACTTCCGAATAATACTACAGGGTCTCTGTGTACAATTCTCTGTTGGATACAATCGGCGAAGATATGAAAACGAACTTTTCTAGAGAAGTATTGGATGGATTTCAACTGAGTTTGCCGCTTTCAGAAAAAGTATGTGATTTGAAAACCAAAGAAATTTCCATTTCTTATTCCAACATTATTCACTACGTTAGGGATAGATTGAAAGGCCTTTTGGATAAAGACAACGTCGTGCGACGTTTGAAGCTCATAGGTCAACTTGATCACCAACGGTGGCAGAAGTAAAAGTCAAGACCACAAGTTACCAACTACTGCATTTTAAACGTTGAAGAACTGCAATATAGACCCATAATTCATAGTTTACTTCGCATATGCTGCACACTTCCGGTGACGATTGGGGTTCTGAACGCTCTCTTTCGAACCTTCGCCGCATATAAACGTGGCTGATGACGAACATGCTTCATGATAGATTGATCGGATTTGCGTTGCTGCACACGCAAGGCATTGAACTGCACTGCAGGAGAAGTTCTCGAAATATTCTTAAAACTTGTCCCGCATCGAAAAATTTTTAAAATTTTTCTACTCAATAAAGTATGCCAGCCGCATGTCTACGATTTATAATGTGGTTTTTCAATTTAGTAGGATTGGATATTATAAGATCGATTTGAAATTTGTCTACCATGATATTAAACTGTATAGAGATTACTATCTTTTTCATGTTTCAAGTAAATGTTTACTTCCCCTCCTATTTCTGGATCCTCCCTTATATAATTTGGAATATGGTAACACTTTATATTAAGAACTGTTGCGAAAGAATTCAACATTTTCTGTTCGACGAAATCGTAAATGGATAAAAATCAAACTAATATCTTATTAACTTATGTGGAGGGCCGTAGACTAACCTAGTTTTATTACTATATTTTATTACGCGTCTGCGGTGGTGGAGTAATCTGATGACCAAGCGTTACTGTTAGAACTCTGCTGAGTTTCGTTTATGTTCTCTTCATCTTTGCCATTCTTGCAAGGTTTCTTACTACCACCATTTCTATAATTATCAATGTTATATTAATATCGTATGAACAAAATACAAGATTTGTCAAATATTCCTTACCACTGGTGGGGGAAATAATTGATAGTCAAGTCTTGTTCTGTGCGAACTATTTCATTCAACGAGAACTATTTTAGTCTGATTTTATTTAGAATTTTTACGTATTTACTATATACAATTTTAAGAACTATCTTAACTATTTTAATATATGTATGTGTATTTGTGCATGTTCATATGTATGTAGCACATTGTTTATGTTACATGGTATGGGGTTGTTTTTCAAGTGTCCATGCAAATTTGTATTCAATTGCTAACCTTAGGTCAATATGTTATCTTAAGTAAATATGTTTGATTGTTAATTGTTGAGTGCATACGTATTGCATATAAATTCTAATTAATTTTTCAGTTAGACTTTCGCGAGTGACCACGGGCAACTGCCTCATTTTCTTTATTACCTTTTCTTAAATACAATATTTTGCTTAAACCTACTAGATACAAATATTAATCTTACATTCTAAGAAGTATATCTACAATCCACTTGAGATAGACCATATGTTTCAAGTGGAAAAATTCATCTTACAATCTATGAATTACATTTTTGCAAAGTACAATGTTTCATATTTCGTTCTAAACTACATATCCAATCCACTTATGACGGACCAGATGGGTAATAAGAAATTCCAAGTCAGGGTGATGGTACTAGGTCAGTATAGAAAAACCCTCAAAGGGTTTGGCGTTCGTTTGTGTGAGTTTTTTTTTCTGACCTTTTAAATTTTTTCCTTATTTTGATGTTTTTTCGCTTAGTTGTAACATTTTGGCAAAAACGTAGTTTAACATAACTCGCGAACCACTTGTCCGATTTTTGATAAAACAAATTTAGAAAAATTAAAAATTACAGTTTCTCTAATCTTTTTCTATACCGTTTTCCTATATGTGCAACACTTTCGAAGTTAAAAATACAGAATTTTTTTTTCTAAAAATTTAATTTTTTTTTTGAATTGATAAAAAAACCAGCAACACTGGTTCTGTAATGTTTACATAAAACATGCATTGTCATTATACTTCTTCTCTTTCTCACACTGATTCTATGATTTTTGTCATTCAATAAGTGCCGAGGTTTGTGTAAAAGCTGCTACAACCGTCTAATGGATTGGAAAAATAGAAGACGTGAAAGTATGCCATTCGGTATCCCAATGACTTGGACTAATCCTGGCGAAGGTCACAATCCATTGAATTGCTATGCATGTGCGAATAAAGGAGCCGCAAAAAGGATAAGAAAATCGTATAATTACGTTGGTGTTGCACCATTGCCTCATTCGGACCACATTCCTGTGCCAAAAGCCTCTAGCTCAGATATTTTCTCTTTTACGACTGCTCCGACATATCATGCACGTGATGATCCCCCATCTGAGCCATCAGTATCCAATGAGCCAATTTTAATAAAGCAAAATAAGCTTGATTTAATTGTTGTCAAATTGGAATTAACACAGCATAAATCGGAAGAGCTGGCTTCCATTTTGAAATCAAACAATTTGTCATGGTTTTCCATCTTAACAAATTAGTTTTTTCCAATCAGGCGTACTAAATGGTCCAGATATACGAAAGCTGATTAAAAGTGACGCATTCAACAATATTTTGATTGACACTGAATTGAATGCATGGCAGGCAATCAAAGAAGTAATAGAAGGCTTGTTGGGAAAGCATCGTTCTAAAAACTACTATGTTTCTGTCGCAAGGATGTTAAGAGCATTCTCGGAAATTGGTGTCCACATGTCCTTGAAAATCCATTATTTACATCATCATCTGGACTACTTCATCAAACAATTGGCTACCGAATCTGATGAACAAGGTGAACGCTATCATCAAGTTGCTATGCCATTTGAAATGAGGTAATACTGATTTTTTATTTTTTCAAACTCATTTTAAGAAAACAAAAACTTACAGATATATAGGCAAAAAGTCGCCGAGTGAAATAATTGCGGAAATTTGCTGGTGGAGTAAACTTGTGTGGCAAGACAGGGATGATCTTGATGATAAAGAATTTTCAGGAGATGCAGAAGGGCCAACAGTGGAGTCACATATTGACCTTATGTGTGGTTCAGAAACTCATGATAGCGATGAATGCGATGCCACTAGTCCCGAACAACCACCATCGAAAAAGTCTAGGCAATATTTAAAAAATTAATAAAAATAAAAAATTATANTTGCATTAATATGTGTTACTCATACGCCGTGTATTGCTATGATCACTCTAAGTAGCTATGCGGTGTAAACTTTTACTGAAAAATATTTACTTTATTTTTTTAGTAGTTTATGACCAGATGTCTGGAGTTATTGGGGAAAATTTATAAAAAAAAAAAGGCGATAAATGACACTATTTGAATAAAAACAAATAGAAAGGGTTTTACTATACTGACCTAGTGCCATCACCCTGACTTGGAATTTCTCACCCCCCAGGCAATAATCCCAAAAATGTTCCTCAGTGTTATCAATAACTATACTTTTAACATTGGGAAATGATTGTAACAGTTCCAATACTTTTCTTCTAAATTTGAATTGTCTTTCATATTTATTACTATTACATATGCTACAATTTTTTGCATACTGTTTAAATTGTTTTATCATTAAAGGCCAATAATTGTGATAAATTTTTCCTATTATTTCTATGAGCTCTATTATGTGTTTGCTCACTTATCGTTCCTTGATCTTCTTTATTGCATATATCATTAGGGAATAGTTTAGTATATAGAAATTTTATCGTGGGAAATGTCTCCTTTAAAAAGTTTTTTATTGCATATATCACTTCAGGTGAGCAAAATTTTCCTGTAACTACTTTTGGATTCATATAATCTTTAAAATACCAATTAGGCAGTTAAGGAAGTAATTCTTGTTCCGTTATCGATTACTTTCTGTTGCTAAAAATTATTCAAAGGTTTTTTTGTTTCATGAATTTGGTACTCATCGCTACTTTCTGCGGAATGTTGGGTTTCTATTAGTGAATCACTTGAGTCACTCGACTCACGTGAGCTGGTTAAATTATTTAATACTTGTCTTGATAATGCGTCAGCAACTACATATGTTGTTCCTGATTTATAAATTATTTTTGGAGAAAACTCCTCAATAAAAGCTCTCTATCTTTTCACTTTAACTTTCGGATTTTTTTCGGACATTGCAAATGCTAATGGTTGATGATCCGTATGGATTTCTAAATTTTTTACTGCATAAAGATAATGGCGTAATGTCTTTAATGTCCAAACTATGACGAATAATTATTTTTCGTTTGTTGCGTAATTTTGCTCGGTAGAGTTTAGTGTCTTTGAAATAAATGATATTGGTTAAAATTCATTTTTTTTTCAAAGTTTGGTTGAGCTGATTCAACCTGTTCTTGTAAGGCTCTTTTTAAGGTTTCAGAAGCAACAATTACTTCTCGATCAAGATTAATAATTGTTTTTTTGGACATATACTGTGATTTTTTACCATTTTCTCCCTTTAAGTGTTTTGTTAGTGGTTTAGCTATTGCATAATTTCCTATAAATTTCCTATAGTATCCCGTTAATCCTAAAAAACCTCTAAATTGTCGTAACGTCTTGGGATATGGGTAATTTTTTTATTGTTTATACTTTTTTGGGATCAGTTTTTAAACTTTTATGGGATACAAGGTATCCTAAAAACTCAACCTTGGTTTCTATAAATTTTGATTTTTCTATAGATATTTTTATATGGGCTTCTTCGAAGGTTTGTACTATATATATTATTTCAAATGAGATGTATGTTTCTTTAGAGTTTTTGAATATACTATTATGTCGTCAACATATACATACGTGACAAAATTTTCCTATCAAGTACCCTATTTTGGGTACCTGTCTGTTATTGTTTTTTCATTAATTTTTTTAAAGTCGATGACCAGTCTTAATTTCGGCCTACCATCTTCATTTATTCCTTTTTTTGGAACGACCCATACGGGAGAATTAAACGGGCTTTTACTATGTCGTATAATCCCTTTTGCGAGTAAACTTTCGRTTTCCTTATTAACAAAATTATTTGCAGATATAGAATAAGGATATTGTTTGGACCATATAGGTTTGACGTCCTCAGTTCTAATTTCTACTTTAATATCTGTTTTAAAAGGTAAATCCATGTTCACGTTTTGATAAGCTTTATTTATTATTTTAATAATATCCTCTCTTAGCAATGGGATGTGTATATCTTTCGGTTCATTATTATTATATTTATACGTATCAGCAAGTTCGTTAGAAATTTCAACATTGTTTATTTTTAAAATATGTTGAGCATTTGCTTTATTACTTTTCCTATCCTTAATAACATTTTTGCTAGTATAATATTATTATTGAAGGGTGCCTTAGGACTTTCTTGTCCCAAGGGGTTTAGTGTAATTAAATCATTGAGAAAATTTATTTTTTCTGTTTTATTATCCCCATAAATAAATTTTCTATTCCGAACATCAATTATCAATTAAAAGATCGCTCTCTAAATTGTTAATTTCATAAAAATATTCCTGTATGCCAAACAGAATGATATTATGAAAATGTTTTATTATGGTTGAACCATGAATGGTTCTAACTTTCTTCTTAATTACTAAAATGTTTTTATTACTATAAATTCCAGCCCATATATATGAGCTGGATGGCCCCGTATCTATGAGAATTGTAAAGATTTGCCCAGTTTTTGTGTCGGTTTTAATAACATATGGCAAATCGGAGTTAACCCTAAAAAATGGTTCTCACCAATATTATCAATTCGTTGAATTTTTGGTTGAGGTTGCGTGCTTGTTTGTGCACTTCCAATTGATCTTTGTGGTATATTTGCTGACTGATAATTGATCTGCCAATTATACCTATTAATCCTACCATATGGCTGGTTTCTTTGCACGTGACTGGGTTTATTTATTAATTGGATTGATTGCTCCACTTATATAGGTTTTTTTTTTGCGGGTGAGGGGGTGGAACCTGCCTTCCGCATCATCGGTGCTGTCGTTACAGCAGCGATATGTGCCACTTGCAGGTCACTAAAAACCCCTCTAAGGAACCGTCGCCCAACCTGGACCGCGCTTGCATTACTTCAGGGTGGCGTTCCATTTTGCTCATTGAGAGATTTACATCTGCACACCTGCGTCCAGGTCCCTCTTTTTGATGCGTTGCAAGAATGCTGCGTATTTCTGGATAATCCCCCAGTTTGCTTCGCTTTCCAATTCGCTATTGGGCCGACCATGTCTTCAGCGGCGGTGCGTTCTCTTTGCCAACACTCACATTCGAAGAATGTGTGTTCAGCCAGAGAACTTAAAACATAGAGAAGGTGCAAATTGAATTCTGTATGATGTTCGATTGGACGGCTAACAGAACTTATAAGATTGTGATAGGGAATCCACCATTCTCGCTGCTATTTAGCAGAATTAAGCACGTTCTCTGGTAGAAATATATGTAAAACGACTGAATTCATGCGAGAATGAATAAAGAGAAATGCTTTGAAGAAAAATATACAAAGTAAAGAAGCATTCACTGCGACACACATATGCGTGATAATCTTGTATCATATGAACCATTTTTTCAGAAATATGGTAAAAATGTTAATTCTTTTACAAAATCGTGAAAAATTAAATAAAAATAATTTTATTTTATTTTTTCATTTTTAAATTATTTCAAATAAATTATATTTATTTCGACTATTACAAAGTGAAGTTGTTCAAAATGCACTTTATTTCGTCGAAGAAAATTTATGACCTTCACGAAATATGCATATTCGCATTATTTCGTTATCATTTCCATATTTGTAGCAATAGAATTTCTATGGCATACATACATATGTATACATATATTATTTCTTTGGCACATTTGTCTGTATGTTTACGAAAGCAAAAGCGAGCCACATACACATTCATAATAACAAGTGCCGCACGAATCTTTCGCATCTCTCTTGTCACGGTCAACCAATGGCCGAAACTCTCCCTTTGTCAAAGAGTCATCACAACGTTGTGTTGTTGGTAGAAAATCCGAGCTGTGCCGAAAGAAACTAACAAACGAAAGCCGATTGTTACGGCTTCCCCTGCCGCTGTAACAGCTTCGCCAGCAAACTAGCGTAAATATGCATACATATGTATGAGCTTGCATACATATCGACGGTGAATTTTGCGAGCCACGGAAAAATATTTAGAATTGACAAATATTGTAAATCGACAACAGCTACGTTGCCACTTTTCTCACTTCTTTCTTAGAACAAACACCAGAAAGATGTTCAATTTATGATTTTTAGCTTTTGAAATCGTCGCGAAAAGASGCTTSTTGGCAAAGGCATGCTCGGGGTGATGTTACGGCGTCTGTTTTTATGAATGAAGCGAGGTCGCCTGTAGAATTTGCGCCTGCGTTTATGAATGAAATCGTTTTTGTTGTAAAATTTACTACATTTGGGCTTCGCCAATTCGGCTGCCAGTTGTTGTTTTTGTAGAACAATGTTTSAATTTTTTGTTGGTGACATATTCACATGTGTACGCATATGTATGTTTGTATGCTTGTGCTTTATTTGTTCGGAAGTGTATACAAATATATATATGTACATACATACTTATGCACATCTCAGTTAGAACAGTGCCGGTCATGTTACCTAGTGATATGCCGGTAACGCGTGCCGGTTTAATTGTCACACTTTCCTATCACGTTTTTAAGGGCGAATCAAAAAACCTCCCAAAACTTTTGTATACATGTGATTTTTTATCACCTTCTTGAGCACACATTTTCTGCTACAATAAAACTATATCCTCGCTACTCACACTTTAGTTAAATTTAAGGCAAACGGGGAAAAGTGGTAGTGGTTAAACGCACGGCTTGGTATTCCGTGAGACTCGAGTTCGAATCTCAAAATAAAAGATTTTTAATTTTTTTTTTAATTTTTTTCAAATTATTTTTAACAAAAATTACATTATAGTTTAAATTGAAATAAATATTTCAATTCCAGCTTTGCAATGCTTTCTTAAAATCTAGTATGTCTTAAAATAATTATTTTTAATAACATCAGAAATACATATAACTTTTTATTAAATATTTAAAATAAAATATTCCTCAGTTTTCCTCTTCCTATAAATTCTTTGTTTCTACCTATGGTGGCTCATTTTAATGGCTTTTCGAACTTGTTTTTCGAACAATGCCAATCCATACGTTACGAATGAATCTATAA